TATTTTCCTCAAAGCTGGTGGTGAGAGCCAGTTCTCAGCAAGGTACAAAGTAAACCTGGTTTTCCTCTGCAACCACAGACCCAGCCCTGGGAAACAGCATTTGCTGCATGAAACCAACAGCCTCCTTGTACCACAGGGTTTGTATGATCCCAATGTGCTCGTCTGTGCAAAGGGAAGAAGGGGCTGTAGCTAGGTAGGACAACACTGGAACACATTTTGGGTTTCTTGCTTTCTGCTCTACACAAGGATGTTTTTTTTACCCTTTACCTCTTGTAGCTCCTATGGGCAGATACAGGTGGGAGCACAGAGCTCAGTGATACCCCCTGCCATTGCTTTTCCATTCTCCAGCACAGACTTCAGCAACAACCAGCAGCAAGAGTGGATTCTGGTTCTTCAGAATCCCACTATGACTTCATTCACTGTTTTCTTCTTCTTAAAAGACCCCATATATTCCTATGCTCTAACCTTTTTCCATCCCCAACAGGTCTTTTTTAGGGGCATCACGGTCAATGCAGTGCGAGGATTCCCAATGTGTTCAGCCATGTTTCTTGGCTATGAACTTTCCCTCAAAGCAATGAAAAGAGACCAAACTGAGACCAATCCTTAACTTCCAGGTCAGCACATAAAGACCCTTTAGCTTGATTAAAGTTAGAGAATTCATCTTTGAATCAAACGGACTTGCAATTGTATAGATCCTCTGCAAGACAGGTAACCTACATCTGAACAGTCACTTTTCAAATCTGGGTCTGTGGGATGTGGAGCAGACAATGGATTTAGGTTTTATTCCAGACTCCTGGAATTTCACTGCACTCTGATTATTGTGATTGTTTTGATCAGTCTGAATCACAAAAGAGAATCTGAAAGGAAAATATTCTCTAATGTTTTATAAGTTGTGAAATATGATTCTCACTTAAGTCCCTGCACAGAATCAATTCCTCCCTTGATCCTCCCATAAAGACCTGAAATTAAGCCCTTTTGAAGTGTCTTGACCATCAACTCACAGTTTTCCTCTTTCCCTCATAAACCTAGGGTTGCGTAAAGGAGCAGCATTAAAAATATCCAATTAAAGACCCCCTTTAGCAGTTTAATACTCATTCTCGGCAGTCTTTGCTCTTTCCTGCAGTACTTCATAAACCTCCTTCTTTCTTATTCCAAAAGTGTTGCTGGGAACACCTGGAAGCCTCCTACTGTCCTGAGCCAAACCAGCAGTGTGGTGTTGGAGAGGGATCAGCTGCTCTGACCGAAGACTCTCATCCTGCACCTACAGCATCTGTTTTCTCTTCTGCCATGGACTCAGTCCCTGGAGGACACTGAAAACTGCACCAGCTCCATCAAATCCAAAGACTGTTTTCTTATCAAATCTTTCCCTCTGTTGTCTCAGAGCACCTTAGTAATCCCCATGGTGGTGTTGGGCTTTATCACCAATGACATTTTCCTATTGAGCCAAGAGAACAACTTGCTTCCCTTCCCCACAAGTGAGATATACCCAAACCAACCCACCAACATCAGCCAGGGAGCATCTTTTGTCTGACATTGTATATGATGCTCCTCTTTGTGAGCAAGGAAAGGAGGAGGGGAGGTGGGTGTGCAGGGCCCTTTTGTCCAGGAAGGGCTGGATTCCCACCAAATCCTGGCTTGCTTTCAGGATAAAAGGAATGGATGACTCTACCCATACGAATGGATACTTGTGGTCTGCATCACAGAACTCTCCCATTTGCCACAATTTTACACATTATCATGGAAAAAACGTGAAGGGCTTCAACAGCCTCTTTGTTTTCTAAGGTACAAATTGAATTGGGAAAAGGGAGGACATTAAATTAGAGGCTCAGCTGCTCTTTTTCTTCAGAAAATAATAAACCAAGTCATATAGATGGCTGGCTATTGCTTTACCTAACTCATCTTGTGTAGCCCTCCAGGGACCTGCTAGAGGTGACTTGTTAGACCTGATCTCCCTGACACAACAGTCCAACTTGCCAGCTGCCAAACCCTGCAGGCATCCCTTTGCAACACCAAAGGAGGTCCTGAGGGATGCAGAGCTTATCCCAAGCTGTTCTCTACAACACACAGGCCAGCTTCAGATGTCCAGCTCTTTGCTGCAGTCCTAGGCCTCTCTTTGGTCTACCTCAGCTTTTCAATTATTCCAAGGTCTTTTACGTCGTGGCTATTTCTGTTCATGCTGTTCAGTATCTCCATGCTTTCTTTTCTAAGCACGGAGCTTCTGGTGCTGAAACCCAAGAAGAACCATCTCTGCTGGGATAAAAGGACTCTGGTGGCACTGGCAGGAGAGGCTGAGAACAGCCTCACATGCAGAGGGACATGTGGCATCAGGAACATTCAGGGACAGCACTGAATGGTTCCCCCCATCTTCTCTTGGAGAAGAACTCCAGGGGAAAAGTCCCACAATGATGGGTTTAGCAGATGCCATCAAGAAAAGCTTCTGAAGACAACCTGGAGCAGCCATCCAGGTTTCCCCCTTGATGGAGGAGAAGGAAAAAGAAACTTCTCTGTCCTCTTCCCTGGGTGAATGGAGGAATTGGTGACAAGACTTGAAGACCTCAGCAGAAAGTGCCTAAAACCTCAGGTTTCTGAGCATTACTCATAAATGGGGTTCCCAACCTTGGGCTCCTCTTTACTGGGGCCTGAATTAAAACCAGAAGCATGGCCTCCCCCAAAACTGGCCTTAAATGTGGGAGAAAGAGCCGGTGTTGCTTCATCTCAGGACATGCAGGTGAGGAGGCTCACGATGCCTTTGAGCTTGACAAGAACACAAACTGTTTCTGGCAAACAATATGGGTAAAATTAATGAACTTTCACAAAAGAATCTGTTGCTGGCTGCATTTAAGGTTTCATCTGTTCCATGTTACCTATTTTAATGCATATGGATGTAAAACATGTTCTTTAGATGCATAATATGTCTCTAAGGATAACACTTGGGGAGGTTTGTTTCTCAATGCAAGTAAGTGGTGGTGCTAATCTGCCCACATTATACATTATATACACCATAAAGTAGAATGCATTCATTAAACTGATGAGGTTTGCAACAAGGTGTGTATGTGAATAATCCTGCCCTCCCAGTGCCCAGGTTTGGTCTGCCCAGGGCTCCCCCGGATGTAAAGCCCTAAGCCCCACACTGGAGCTGTATGGTGAGTTTTCCTGATTTCTTCATCCAGTTAAACCAGTTTCGAGATGGATGCCCAGGATTTAGAGTCGCAGATTCATAGAATGGTTTGGGTTGGAAGGAGCCCTAAAGATCATCCAGTTCCAGCCCCCCTGCCATAGGGAGGGAAAGCATAACAGACATGAAAAGTGATTGGGAAGTGAATACAAAGCTTTGGCCACATGATGGCAACCTCGTCCATGGCAGGGCACGGCCGTGTGCTGCTGCTTTGTTCCATTCAACCCCAGGTCCAGGTTTGCTTTCAGAGCATCACACGCTCCCCTCTCAAACAGGCAGCCCCCCCACTGAGCAAAGCGCAGGTGATTTTGGGGTGATCCAGCCCTGCCAATGGCTTCCCTAGTGCATTCCCCTTGGATTCGAGGGTGACAGCAACCTCGTAGGAGGTTGGGCTGATGCTGGGTCAGGAACAGCAGGGTTGGGATGAGCAGCTTTTGAGGTATGGTTGTACCCATTGCTGTGATGGATCCCAGCACACAGACAAATATCTTAGTCCTGCTTTTGAAGCAGTGAGTGTGTGGCTCTGTCACTAAGGAAAGAGGTCCTGTGGTGGAGCTGGGTGATGCTGCAGGGGGTCAGCCCCATGCCTTGAAGATGAGGCATTACAATTTATGCACACAGAGACTTGACGGGCAGGTGTTTTGTCAATGGTTTTCTTTACGAGATATCAAATACATTAGTTTGTAGAGATAATACTAATATCATGATCTGTGGATAGAAATTTGGAGCTTTAAGGAATCCTCTTTGGGGACCTGGTAATGGGGCTTTAAACACTGCCTTGCCTGGCAGGCAAACAGCCATACATACAGCTGATTCAGATCCCTTGTACAGGGCACTGATTGCGTATGCTGGCGATTTTGTCATTGCATTGCACAAAAAATCCCTGGTATCAATGGAATTCAGGATACGGACCCAATCTTCTGTCAGTGGCTGTAGGGACCTGCCCTTGGTGGCGCATTCCCCAGCACCATGCACAATGGAGTGCGAGAATCCATCTGCTTGATGGCTTGTTCACAGATGCTCAGAGCCTCGCATTTCTAACATTAAACGCAGTGACTCCTGAAATAGGTGAGAACTGATTAGGCAGACTAGAAGAAGCAGGATACCCACCTCTATGCTCTTCTTGCCTGGAATATGAAAGCATACTCAGACCTGTCATGCCTCACATAAACCTGTAACTGCCTGACTTTCACGCTGCCGGTGGTGTTCCAGCTCTTACAACACCTCATATTACTTAATGAGATGCTGGCTGTCTAGCTGTTTTTCCAGTTTATACACTATGTAATGCTATGGTAGGGAGTAAAGGTAACAGTGGTTTATTTCCTCATGTGAAGAAAACAAAACAAACAGGAACCAATTTTCCAGTGAAAATCCCTGACCTGGAGGAAGGTCTTTGGTGGTGGGAGAAGCCTCGTGATGCTCACAAGGTGGGAGCAGGATGGGGCTGCCTTTGGCCAGGGGGCAAGGAGGAGGTTGTGTATCCCCCTGCATCCCTGTTGCTGGGTACCTACAATGTTCTTAAGTCCTTCTCCCAAGGCACCCCAGTGGTTTTAGTGCCTGCTGAAGCCATCCCTGTGATGGCTGTGGGCCAGGCTGGGATGTTCTCATGCCTCAGGATTCCCTTCCTGATGTGCCAATACCTTGGGAAGGTGAGATCACAATCCCCACGTCGGTTTCTCTTTTCCTATTGTACTTGAGACACAGGAGTAGGTGATGTTCATGCAAAACAAGAAGGCCAATGACTGTCTTGTGCCCATAAAGAAAATGGCAGAGTCAGAAGAAGTGATGAGATCCAAAGAGAGGAGTGTGAAGAAGATGCTAAATTGAATGTAAAGTGCACAAGACCAACTTCCTTTCTCTAAAGCCATCTTCTTCCTATATATGCTCCTATAGAGTACAGACTGATCACTGCCAACTTGGAGAAGTAGTATGTAAAGTAACATTCTAGAGATAGGCTTCACAAGGAATTAAGCCATGCAGTGAGGGGAAATTTAAGCAGTTACACTGATTTTTCCTACACTGTAGATCCTGCAATAGTTCTAGGATCAGACACTAGTGGGACAACCAACCTGTTAAGAGCCATACATAAAGCAGAACAAGAACATCTTTTTAAGGGGGGTCTCAGAGGTCCCATATAAGGTTTCATGGTAAGATATAGGAATGCCTGCTGTAAAAGCAATAGGACCTATGTAGCTTATCTTCATGGACCAGCTCATGGTCTATTCTTCCATGTTTCAAAACGTTCTAGCACTAATGTAGCCTACTTTATATCTAGTATAGGAAAACCTGCCAACTCTTATGTAAGAGGGCCAGGCTATTCTTACTCATGCAGCTATGTGTGAACCAACACCCGTGCTTACTTCATTATTTAATTGAGATCACTGTGTTTCAATCAAGGAGTCTGCAGTGGTTTCCAATGCTTCCAGCATGAAAAGCAAGCTGCAATGGAGATCTGGCTGGTGGAGGGCTCTAAAGCAGCCACGGAGCGGATGCCTTGCGCTGCCTGTCTGTTCTGCATGTTCTGCCTTCCTCTGCATGCCGTGCTGAGAGGGAAATCCAGCACCCAGGGTCATCTCACAGTGGGACAAGCAAGGAAGGGTGAGTGGACTTATGATTTGAGCGCTCTGCAATGCTTCTCTTTCCTGGTGTGAAAGAGGATCCTGAACTGAGAGCAACGGCATCAGGGAAACCTTTATATACAAAAGAACTGGTGATCTTTGTGGAAAACTCCTTTTTCCTGCTTAGTTCTGGGTACTGTCAGTTGTGAGATGCACTTGCAATATGTGCAATGCCCAGCACGGGCATGCTGCTCGCAGGGCTTTTTTTGCTTTTAGATGCCTCAGCTCTTGCTAAATATCATTGCAGCATGGAAAGCTTGGCTTCCCTGTCAGGAACTCAGGAGAGCTCCGGTGACTGTACTATTGCATGAAACAAGGATGACCCTGAAGGTCCCTCTGTGGTGTGCTCCCCCATCTCACTGCTCCTGAGCACCACTCGTCATGGTTAGTTAGTTCAAATGGTTTAAAATCAGTTAAAACTCTTCTGAAAGGAATGGAACTCCATTACCTATAGAAGCTAATGTGAATCCTGAGGACGTCCTATGGTCCACCTGTGTGTGACTATCAGGAGGTGCCAATGCCCTCTTCAAACTGTCACATGCTCCCTGAGTTCATCTGGATTTTACACCTTTCTGTCGTAGGCAGTCGTGCTATTACTATGCTACGGTCTGCCCTTTCATGGAGGAATCAGAATGACCTTATTTTCCTTTATTTATACACTAGCATATGTCGTCTTTATCTAAAAGAAAGGGAAAACTATACTCCAAGCCACCTTATCTCTGGAAAATGAAACTATCAATAGCATCTCTTTGTTTGCGGTCTCTGTGAGATCTTACACCTTGACCAGTAAAACAAGCCTGTACATTATCTTGTTTTTCCTTTACAGGGAATGTTTCCTTTTTTCTATATTAAACCCCCCCAGAACTGTTCAGAGTTTCTTGGAAATGCTACAGTGGGGTGTAAGTTCTTTTCTGGCACTCAGAAAATCGGGAGGTCAAATATCAGGTCAAAACAGTGATTTGGAATTTGGGTTTGTGCAGCATATTTGGTCAGTCAGCCTAGCTTTAAAATAGGTGCCTGAAAAGAGAATATATCCTGAAGTATTTACATATCAACCAGGAATGGACAGGACATTAGATGAAGGTTTCCAAAGGCACCAGAGGGAATTGCTTGTAAGAGATCATAGGAACATATTGGGAGAGTTCTGTGTGTCCATCTTTTCCGAATCATAGAACCCCAGCCTGCTTTGGGTTAGAAAGGACCTTAAAGCTCCTCCAGCTCCAACCCCTGCCAGGGGCAGGGACCCCTTCCACTGGAGCAGCTTGCTCCAAGCCCCTGTGTCCAACCTGGCCTTGAGCACTGCCAGCGATGGGGCAGCCACAGCTTCTCTGGGCACCCTGTGCCAGCGCCTCAGCACCCTCACAGGGAAGAGCTTCTGCCTAAGAGCTCATCTAAAACTACTGTATTTCAGTTTGAAGCCACTACCCCTTGTCCTGTCACTATTCCTGCAACAAATGCAAGTTCTTGGCTGGAGTCTTACAATCTGGTCACTCAGGAGTCACCAGGCACATTAAGCTGGTGTGATGCACCGGCAGCACCCAGGATGATGGAGCTCTCTGCCCCTTCCTTACTCTGATCCTCTACTATAGCCATTAGTGTGCAGGGAAGAGATATGACGTATGGGGATATATGATATGCTGATGTCCAGTTCTGCCTCAGGCTGACCACAGCGAGTATCCCCACTCAGGTTTATCAATGGCAATACAGGGGATGTTCCTATGTGCTGTTGTACCCACTGCTTTCGAGCTTGGTGACCTTTATTAAGGTTTCAGTTCTTGTTTGATTTTTTTCAGCCAGAATTCTTAAAAGGGAACAAAAAGCCTCAGAAAGACCAGATTTAGCATTGGTGGCTCCCCACTTTGACAACCGGTCTTTTGAGGCTTGTGGGTTTGCAACCTCAGAGGGAAGTGCACTCCCAGTCACCTTCTTACCTACTGCAATATGGCTACTGAATCTAATACGAAGCTTTGTTTCAGTTTTTTGAGTGATGGTTGAAAAACCTCTATTTCCCCTCTATGTGTTGCCCTGTGTTGCTGAAAGAGAGATTAAGGGAGAGGAACAGAGGGAGATCAGATACCTGAACATGAGATGGGAAATCAACTCCTGGTTGTATTTAACACACTGGTCATCAAAATGAAGACTTTTAAAGTATCAAACCTACATATTTAAAGATCACATTAAAAACCTGGTATTTTTGCTGGAATGGCAGCACGTATTAATTTCCATGGTCTTTAGATCAGTCTCTAAATGCTGGAATAGAGCCTAAACTCTCCAAAGAGAAGCCATAACCAGTATCACACTCTTCAGTGCCCAATCCACTGCTGCTCTAACCAATATATGGAAAGTTCTTTCTCTGCTAGTCTGACTTCTGGTAACTTCTGATCTGCTGTGAATGGAATACAGCTTGTCACCTCTCTGCCCTGGAGCAACAACAGAGCAAGACGGATCTCACTAAGCAGTCAAACAGATATGGAGAGATGTAGAGATAACACTGGCACTGCTGGCAGATGGAGATTATGGGGAGGAACCACAGGCTCAGGGAGCAGCTCTGCCATTCTGAGTTTCAACTCATAACAAATATATGGATCTCATCTTTTTGGGCTATAGGCCTGGGTAGAAGTTGTCTGAGCTGCTCACTGCCCAGTGAACATAATTACATGCAGTGACTGTGCTAAACGGGATTTCTAATGAATGTATTTTGCTTAAAACCTCCTGGCTGCCATGAAGAGCTCCTTGTCCCTGTCTCCTCATGGCTTGTTGCCATATCCCTTGCACAACCTTGGGCTAAATCAAAGATGCTTGCGAATTCTTTCCTTTAAAACCACGTAAAATTGGGGTTTTGACCATCTGAGAAACCAAGTGTTGTAAGCGCAAATGTTACCCACACAATTCATTTCCTTCAGGGATGGAGGCTTTGAACTAAATTGTTCCAGCTCTTGCCAAGGGGCTTTACTGGCTGAATAAACAGAGAGAGCACACCCATTGCTTTGCTTGAGCAAAAAGCTGTTTCCTCAAGGGAGACCTACCCATCCCGGAAACCTCTTCATTGATTTTCAGGGAATCACAGGCTCTCAATCACAAATCAGTGATTTTAGCCCTTCTGTAATCATCACCCAGTGCCTTGAAGAATGCCACTGCCTGGCTCAGTGAGTGGCATCCATCCCCACAATATGCCTTTTGAAAGCTGCCAGCTTTAACTTGCCAAGGGAGGGTCCCTGGCTGCTTCTAGGTATTCCCTGGGGCCTGTGTGAGAGCTGTAGCTGCCTAATGGGATGCACGCTTCCCACATTAAATCACCCAAGGATGAACTTCAAAGCGAAGGCAGGGAGCATCCTCTCCAGCTGGGAGCTGGGTGCGCAGCAGCCAGGCAGAGGAGCAGCAGGCAGATCTTGCTCCACTCCCCTTGGTGTGCAGGCAGGCAGCGGGGCTGTGCCCATCAAATGAATCCCTTGCTGGTAGGCAAATGCCACGGAAAACACCCAGCAGATTGCAAGCCGATGTTTTCTCTTTCCAGGATAGCTTCCAGAGGGATTGCACTCATCCTCCAGCCAGACTGACCAGCAGAAGGCTCAAGCTTTTGAAGCTATTTATGGCATAGCAGCAGGGAAGCTTAAAAGTCAACTCTGACAGTCTAAAAGGGTTACCACTTGCTGTGCTAGTGTGTGCAACTTGGAAAAGAGGAAACCTCTGTCGCTAGAGAAAGCTCTATGAGGCATTCAACCTGATCTGGAGACTCCATCTGAGAGAACTTTCAAGTTAATACAATTTTGGTCACTTGGGACTATTACTGCATCCACTCCTTTCTGCTCCGAATGTGACACTGCAGTGTGTGCTTGCTCCGAGGGCCCTATCCTTATCTGCACATTGGTGCACGTGCGCTCGGTAGAGGTGGCATCCCAGCCAAGGATTATGGGATCGCTGTCTGGATGCAGCAGCTGTAACTCAGTGTGATGACTTCTGCACAGCACAAGACCCCCTGCAGCATCACCAACCTTCCGTGAGAAAGTTCCTGCTTTGAATCCAGGGGGAATCCAGCCTGTCCTCTTGTTTTTTTCAGCAGGTTTGGCAATGGTGAACACGACAGTCTCTTCGCTTTCATGGGGCTCTAATTTACATGAGCACTGGAGACAAACCCCACATTGGAAAACAAGAAGCTTTTGTAGCTTTTTAACCATTGTTTCCTGTTGGGGTGTGATATCATAATGCTCAAATTAATCACTTATGAGGAGCAGCTGTGAATTTCCGCTGTACGAAAGCAAAGTCACTGCAGTAGGTGACTCAATTCCACGTTTGATGCTGTCCAAGCAAAGTGGGAAAAAAACAGTGGGCACCTGGTATCAGTTTTATGAGTGGGTTTTTCCCTATTAGAATGGGAATTTTGTGAAGACTTGATTAAAAGGAGTGTCCTCCTGTTGTGCTGTCACCCACCAGACTGAGCTGCACACGAACGCCAGCATGCTGCCATACATCCTCTTCTCTTGTTTGCTGCTCTGTGTGCAAGCACAGAACTGCAGCGTCCGTGAAATCATCCGGCATACAAAACTCCTGCTTGTAAGTTTAGCACCTTCCCTCTGTCAAAGCGCAGGCTTATGCAGCGGGTGACAGTAAATACTGACTTCTCACTTGTTCTTCCAGCAGGAAAGCCCTCTGAGTTGCCCCTGTAGGGAGACAGCTGTCAATGTGAGTACATCGCTTTGGAGAACACCATGAGAATGTATTTGTGTGCTGAATGCTACCAATGCTGCATCTTAACGCTCACTCTTTTCATTTTCAGTCATGTTCATGTCTTCCCATTGCTGAGGTAAGTATTGATTTTAAGCTGTTGTAGGTGGTAGAGAAGTTCAGTATTAACTGAGTTGATTTTGTTCATGCTGCTCCTTATACAACTTTTGCTTCTTGTTATGAGGAAGCCTTTAATGCATTAGCAGCAGCAAAACTGAGCTTGATGTATAGCGGTAGGGAGGGATGCAGAAGTCCGCCCATCATCAGTGCAATCAACCAAGCCCAGCCAAACAGAGCCTTGTGGGCTTCACTCGTAAATCAAAAGATGCAGCCTCTTGCTCTGAAAATCTCTGCAAGCCTTTGGTTTATGGTTACATGCCAAAGAATAAGGGAACCCGGGCCACAGATGTCAGGCCTCAGATGCTTAGCTCTAGGTGCATCTAACACAATTTCACTTTTGTAAGGTATGGTGAAACCCAGCATTGGCTGAAACTACACTTCAGAAAGTTATCATTTGAGGTATTCTGAGAGATGTGACAGGAGCTTCTTATGGCATACATGATGATTCAGTGTTTTACACCCCCCCCCCCCCCCAAAGTTCATATACCAGCTTTCAGTAGAAGAATAGAATAGAATATGTCACATTTGATGGTGACATGCTGCCACATTTACGAATACACAAAACGCATCCTTACCTTTTTTCTTCCTTTAACAGCCTGGCCATGAACTGCCATGCTTTGTGGAAGGAACCGAACACATGCTGAAACACAACATCTCTTCCAATGCAGTAGTTGAAAGGCTTAACCTAAGCTTTCAGATTCAACTGGACAGAAAGCTCTGTAAAGTAAGATGTTTCCTACTTTCCTATCGATCTTTGTCTATCGTTTACAAAAGAAAGGATTTTTTAATTATTTAAATACATGTAGCTGAGTATTAGATTAATTTGAAATGTGTTTTAAATAATTGTTCTATGCAGAAGCCAGCTATGATAGCTGCAACATGTATGAGGTGATGGAAAGCTATTAAAATTGGCAGAGGAAGCAGGGAGATGTGTTCTGCCCCGCTGTGCAGTTTCCCTTCTCCAGATCCCTTTAGCATGAGAACCTTTAAACCAGAACTCTGGGAGAGGAGCTTCATTTAATTTGCTTTTCTATTCTCTTTTCTCAAATGTGTTTGTACTCTAAACAGCTATGGTATATAACCAGAGAGCAGATGTGCTGGGGACCGGCAGGCACAGGATCATTCTCTTCTGGAGCATTAATTCTACCAAAGCTGCAGTTCCTTCAGGGATGCTCAGGCCTGAAATACTGCTGTGGCCTGCAGCATCTTCAGATTTGTAATGGTGCTCAGGAAGACTCTGGGATCCCCAGATGACTTTCCTCAGGCACTGAAACATCCTTTATTTACAGTGAGCAGAACTGTTGTGTAATCCAATGAGCCAGAAGATGCTGATGCAGTGTTGCAAGCTCCTTTTAGCTAGCTTCAAACTTGCAATGGGAAATATTGTTAGAATGGGACAGCAACACTGAGCAGCCCCATTGCCCTTATCTTATCCAGCTTCTCCTCCAGCTCTATCTACCCTCCCTGCCAGGTTGAAACAGCCTCATTGAAATGATCTCAGTTATATCTATATGACAGCTGTCACCCTAGTCACCACAAAAAAGCCACTCACTGCTCAAGGAACAGTTCTTTAGGAACTGCTTTTGACATCCCTGCTTAGCTCCAAAGAATGCCTATTTTAACTGTTTCATCTAAATCCTTTATATTTTTATGGAATCTTTGGTAACCCAATCTTTGTTCTTCCTCCCATCACAGAGCCTGGCGCACGGGACTCAATGCCAGTACAAGGTCAAAGGAAACGTGAAAGAATTTTTGACTAAAATCCTTAGGACCTATCAAGAAATCAATATACACAATTTAAAAAAGCTTAAAAAACCCCCCGTAATTCTTTGAAAAGAAGGGGGGAAAAGTTATTTATTGTATTTATTGTTCACCTGAGCTATAGAAGGTAGAAATACCAACTGCTAAAGCAATAAAACTGCTATTTACCTGAGCACCAAAAGTATCAAGCTCTTCATTTGATATGTTCTGTACTTGGGGAAAGGTTTGAACATCCTAGTTTGGTGCCAGTGGGCACCAAAATGCTTCTGCAAAGCGCTGGTCCAGCAATTTCACTCACATGAGATGCTACAGCCAAATGCAGGCTCTGACCACTTTATAGCTCTAGAAATACCCCTGGATTTGTGATTCAGAGAGTCTGCGTTTTCTTTGTGCCTCACATTTATTTCTGATGACATCTATACACCATGAATAAGTCACTTCTTTCTTGCAAGGTTGCAGATTTTCCTGCCCAGAGCCACTTTTTCCTTTCTTCTAAATATTCAGTAGTAGAGAAGTCATGAACTTCTTATCATGCAACAGCAAGATCATACCCAGAGTTAACTGCAAGTTCTGAATGGGCTTATGTATTTGGAACGCGTTGTGGACAATTGTTTCTTCCTTGGAATGTATTTAACTCTGAAGATCTTTCCCTAGTGCCACGATCTCAGATTTGGTTTTGGTTTGGTTTTCTATCAATCACCTCTCCACCTGGCTCATGAGAAACAAAAGAGGCAAAAAGGGGGATACGCTGGAAAAAAAATCCCAACATACAAGGGGAGAGGCTTATCTCAGCCACCTATTCCAGCCTCACTGGTAGTTTCTTTGATCTCTTCACACAAGGGAAAATACCAAACAGGTGAAAGAAGGTCAGATTTCATCTATCTCCTTTGTGCCTCAAAGACGAACAAAAGAGATGAGGCACTGTAAGAGGGCTGGCCTTTGAGATGGAGGATCTTAACAGGTCTTCAATGCCAATGTCATTTCTTTGCCACCTCCACTGGAGTATGGATTTTTCATACCCCAGGAACAGAGGCAGGCGTATAATTCCCTTTCTTTTTCAGCATGAGGTATGATACTGACGGGATGAACTTGTTCCTAGGATCAAAAGCACGATGGTAATGCTCATCAACTACATTATTATGCTAAAGGTTTCCATTAACGTGGGCCTGGGGAAAAAGGCAGAACTAGATTCTACGAAATGCATCTGATACGAGTATATAAAACTTATGTATTATGTATCAGATCAAATGCACTTCTTGATGTGTGTCTGCTTTAAATTTGGTAAGATAACAACTACACAGAAGACTATTTCTGTGGTAATGCTGATGCAGATGAAACCAAGAAATAAAATAACTATTCCTCCTTTCTCACATTTTCATATCTTCCTACACTTTCTAGTCCATATTCAGCTCAGGCAGCTTTCTCCTAAAGAACTTTTCAGTTCTAATGCAAAGAAAAATCGTCCACATTTCTGATACATCATCAGAATGCTTCTGTATGATCCTGGTGTCGAAGAGAAGAAAAAGGCTTGTTAATATCCATAGATCTTACTGAATCTATAGTGTCAGACCTCAGATTCTCCAGGTCCCAGGACTGCAGACAGCTGTTCTAACCTGTGCTTTCAGCAAGGAAGAAGAGAATTCTTTGTGTAATACTTTTACTCCCCAAACAACTTCATTAGATCTATAAAACAGGTACAATAATGATGAAATCACAGCACCAGCATAAGATACATTGTAAGTTCAGTTCTGCCCCATATAAGCTGGCACGAGTCAACTGCAGTCAGCTTCCAGTCAAATCACTTCTGCAAGATGGTAACAGGAAACTCTTGCACAGGATTTGAAAACCCAAGCAAACTAAACTGCAGAAGATCAATGTGCAAATTATCTATTCATCTGATGCCTTGGTTTGCAACCTGCGTGAGAGAAATGATTGTTGTGTGCTTGAAGCATTCAGTGCAGAACTGTGCAACATGAAAGAAGCACTTCCACTGCTGTCTGTCATTGCACGTTATATCTGTGAGCTGATGCAAAGTGTTTCCTCACACTGGGGAGCTCCTCAAACCCCAGTGTCCTATTGTCCAGGAAATGTGGTAGTGCTCCATCCTTGAGTATTTTAGCCCTCTTCCTTCCCACAGGCATATCCACATCTCCTCCATGGGACTAATGGCCTGTGAGGCTTTGCAAGATGCAAGGCAGCCTTATGGGAAGTGCTGGATGTCCCATGGCAGGACTGAACATCCCTTCAGCCAGCCCTGGGCCAGCCCCTGCCTGAGCAGACATGGGACCAAGCAGATGCTTATGGGCCTCTTCTCCCTCCTGAGTTTGTTTCACAATAGGATTGTGAAAGTGCGAGGTGAGAACAAAAGGAAACTAATCCACTGAGTTATTTAATGACTGTAACAAGCACCTTTTCCTGATATCTGTTATCTTTCTCTTGCAGCTCTCTAGCAGGACGTGTCATGCTACGCTGTGAAGGAGAGGATGTGGCATAGGGCAGGGGAGACAGAGGAGGAGGAGAAGGTCAGATAAGTTGATAATATTGTGGGATAGATTTACAATGGGGAATTGATAACCAAATGTGATTTTACGGAAGAGCCCTTCTTCCAGCCATTCAAACCTGTTGTGGTGTCCGTGGCAAGGAGCATGATTGTATTCAAGTACGCAGAGCTCCTCACTTGCCTTCTTTCTACAACTGACATTAGCAAAAGGAGGCTCTAAACATGATTTGCTTTGTGATTTCCAAGACAAAATCCCCCATGATGCAGGGCAGGAGTGACTAATTCCTGCAAACTGGAAGGTAACACCATTAAGTCTGTACATAGCACCTCTTTCTTTGGGAATGTCTGCCTCACAAGAGTTAAGTGTTGGGAATATGCAGACCAATTCCATACCTCATACCACCACGATTATATGATTTTCTCCGTTAGCATGAAGTAATGCGAAAGAATATACTAGGAGTGACCCAAAGGCACTTGAGAAGCTATTTCACTCTTTGCCAAGGGAGAATTCTCCCAGCCCTGCTACACCAGCCACCACACAACCCTTGCTTTGATAGGTTTTGTTGCTGACAGCAGTCCGACAGAAACCCATTCACAAACCTGCAGTTCTACAGCAGCATTTTCTTCATTTGGCCGTGCACTTCATAGCATGGCTATTACAAAACATCTGGTGGTGTCTTCAGAAACCTGGCTAGGACAGCTTTATATGCCTGAGTTTCTGCTATGATACCTATCAAGGACAAGCACAGCAGCAGAGCCAAATGTACTCCAGTACCCTACCCCTGGTTCTACACAACTCCATGACCTGCTGCGGGACATGCCCAAGCCTTAAGCAGTGTTAATGCTCTAATAGGAAGCTGTATCTAATGACATATAAATGAATATTGGTTCAGGAGGTATTTTTGGAGGGACTGGAAGCATCCCAGTGCACTGTTTCCCTCCACCCCAAGTCTCTTGCACCCCTGTAAAAACAAGTCTGGTATATGTCATGCCCATGGGAAGGAAAGGCACTGGGCTGCCATTCACATGCTTTTCGATCATAAATCACACTGGGTATTTGAAAGCGGTTTCACGTATTTGTACAAGAAAGCTGATCTTATCTGGCTAATCCTCACAACACCCTCCTGAGGCATGTGGACAAGCTTTACACAAAAGTAAGGAAACAAGAGTTTGCTGAGGCAATGGACTCGTTTCTCCCCAGCACTGCATCCTACAGTTGTCTGAAGACTGACAGCATTTGCTTCAGAGCTCAACACACACCAAGCTTTAACATCACCAAATGACAGCACACATAATATCAGGTGGTGCTAATGGGGATACTGAAGCCAAAGAAGCTACCATTTCCATTCTGTTTTCCCCAAAGATAAGCCTGTACCTGCAAACAGGTGCTTATAGCTCCCTTCCCATATTTCCTATTGGTCTCCCACCTTCAAGTCAATCAGCTGGAAAACCTCCAGCAGTTAGAACTAAAAACTCCCAGGACTTTCATGGGCATCTCTCACAGATGCAACCTTGGTGATCTGTAACTTGCAGCATCCCCATGGACACACACTCTGTAGTGCAAGCTGCACACCAGGCACCCGTTCAAACAGCAGTGTTCTGTTGTCCTCTATGAACATCTGCAAATAATCCTGAATGTTCACACTACTGTTATAAGATAAATGCTGTTTTCTGTCGCGACACAGCATGGATGATAGCTCAGGTGCACAGCTCAGGCAACCAAAGGAGTAGAAGGGCTGGAAAGAGAAGGCAGAACACTTCCAAATGCAACTCCTAGATTGCCATACAGGCTTTAACAATCAAAGATGCTTCCAGATAAGCAATGTGTCTGAATCGTTTCTGCTATCTTAAACCTAGCAGTGCAGTAAGACACGAAACAATCCTAAACTGAAATCAGGTTTTAATCTGGAAAAAGCCGCAGTACATTACATAAAAGAAAAAAACATTTTTCCATATAAAGCATCAGTGAGACTTCTTTTTACTCATTTCAGAAACAGCATCATCAAGGGGCTTCACAAGAAAACAGATGCCCTTGACTTATTTATTGCGTTCCTGTTGCTGGGTTTTAATTTGGTAACTTTCAGACTAAATAAGCATTTTCCAGGGGTAATAGGTCAAGAAAAAGCCCAGGAGTGAGGGGAGTTTCCCCGGCCTCCCCACAAAATTGGAATTGTAACAGAGAAAAATAAGAGGGAAATCTTGACTTAAGAGCTGCAGATAATGATCAGCCGACTTCTGACTTTGCAAGCAGCCTGTGGGAGAGAAGAGAGATGCTCTGTCTGACAGTGACTGCAGGCAGGATATAAATCAGCCATTGAGATACAAGATTGTCCCACGGTGGCAGAAAAGGTTTCTTGCTCTTATTTTGCTGTGCTTCCATACGCTTGACATCATAGTATTTTGTAAAATGCAACAGAAAGGAAAGGATGAAGATTTAAAAGATCCTCACTGACCACAAGGTATTTTCAGCAACATAACGCAATTAGAAATAGAGGCTATGTTGTACACAAGGAAAAGTGCAAAAAGGCATAGAATTATTATTACCTTAGTACTAGTTGCTTTAGCACATCTCACAATGACTTAAGGAAACAGGCATTTAAGACCTAATGGTCCCTTCCTGCATGACTGAGGCGGCAAAGGTTGTGCAAGAGTTTTGGGGAACAGGGAAGGGAGACTGAGGTGGTT